TTTAAGTAATATTTACAAATAGTCCAGTTTTCAGATCAATGTCCACTTTCTCAATTCTAATTGAATTATTGAATTTAGTATACAAGTGAAGCCCAGTGTCTGAGTGGTAGCGCTTCGCGCTCCAGTGCCACGGGTTCTGGGTTCGATCCTCGGGCCGGGCAAGGTTGACCCAGCCTTTCAATGAGTCGATAAATGAGTACCAAGCATGCTTGGGAACTAAACACTGGGGGTTCCGCATTCGGTTGACCACCTGACTGGAACATCTGCTCCTGCACCCTAGAGCCCAAGGTCAAGAAAACTGAGATGGGCACAGTAGGCCCTGGCCCTCTATGGACTGTCGCGCCACTGAGTTTAGTTTTTTTTTAGTTTAGTATACAAGATCTAGAAATTCCCAATCAAGTTCTGCCACCTTCTGACTGGAAAAACTATAGTAATACCGGTAGTTTATTCTAATTTTATCAAATTAAGAATAAGTTGAGTTTAACTTTGGAAAGACCAAACTTTAAGGAAAAAAATATTAGCCAAACTTCTGCCAAGTGAGTGTTAAGGTAATTTCATAGAAAAATAAAAAATTTTTTTTAGAAAAATGCAATGTTTTTAGAGCCATTTAAAGTGAAAGACAAATTGCAATAAAAGATGTTCACATTAAATATTGTTGTTTAGTTTTAAAAATGTATCTCTTGTTTGATTGAATGTATCATAATTTTTCCTACGGCATTATGATAAGCAATTTATAAACTAACAAATCAAAAAAATTTCTTTTATACTAAAGTTTATTTATTTAATTTGTTAGGTCTTTTACATGTCAAAACAATTTTTCATTCATTACTTAATCTTATTAACAATGCTTATTTAAAAGTTTATTATTAACTAGTTTTTTCAATTTCCTTAGTTAATACTATTGTCTTGACGGAATTAGAGAATTACTATTTATGGAATGAGACTTCGTATCTCAGAAACTATTAATTTTTAGACTTTGTGTCAATGATAACTTTTGATCAGACTGTTTTAAATTACAACAGATTAAATTTTCAACCAATTTGACAGAGAATTAATTTTCTTTAGATTTGTGCTCGGTACTTTAAACTAGCGATATGAAGTTTTAAAAATAAGCAACATTTCCTATTGGCTGCTCTGCTCCCTAAAAGTCGTATTTTAACCTGCGCTCTTCTCTGCATAGCAAAACTAGAATTTCCATGTTATTAGATAGAGAAATAGTGTATCGGGAAGAAACATTGTACCAATTTTGCCTTTTTGCAAAACCACCAGTGGGGCTTTTTAGTTAACTAAAGTTATAATGTCTCCAAAAACGCTCATACAGTAAATCTAAAAAATTTCCCGTTATAAATGCTTTGGGGCATAAGTTTAGTATGTAGCAAAACTATGCTATTCAAAAATTAAACAAAACTTTTTTGTTCATAAATTACTTCAGTGCCGGATTATCCATTAGGCCAGACTAGGCCATGGTCGGGGGCCCCCAATGATTAGGGGCCCCCTTAAAATGGATTTGTTGAAAATAAATTTTAAAAAATTAAGAAAAACAAGAATTAAAAAAAAAAATTTTTTTTTTGAATATATATTAATAAAATACGATAATTTTTTGCATAATGTTAATCATATTTATCTATTACTTACTTTAGTTATTATTTATAAGTATTATTATAGTTTATGTAGTATAAGATTTGTCAATGTTTTTTAAGTTCAAATGTCATGTTCAAATGTCATGTTCAAATGTCATGTCAAATTCAATTGTCATGTTGTTTTGCGCGCGAAAAAATTGAAGGCAGTACTATAGCGAGCTGAGACTCGTTTAAACAAGAAGCAAAGAATTAAATTTTGTTGACATTATTGAGACATTTTAAATGAAAAAGAAGTTATTTAGTGCCCCAACTGAAGTGTCTCGTAATTGTTTTAGTGTTTTATAATTATTCAGTGTCCGTGTCCGTAATTCTTTTTTAATCTATAAATAATTACGAAATTTAACAAAAAATAAAGTAAAATTTATTTTATTATTATTTATTTTTATTATAAATACGCTTTCTTAAATGAAAAGATATTTAAATACTTTTATATTTGAATAAATAAAAAATATACGAAAAAAAAAATTTAATTATGGGCTCCAAAAATTTGAATGGCCCAGGGCCCCGCGTACCCTTAATCCGGCACTGAATTGCTTACTCACGAAAGTATACCTATCTGCAATTATTCGTTGTTTTCCTTAGTCTAAAACATTGCAGTACTTAATTTAATAAATTTAGTTTTCTCCTTCCAAAATTTGTGAAGGTGTGTCCCAAATATGAAAATGCTCATGCTTTCTTTGGGGCATATTTATTTGCTTAACCGGACCTACCCCTTGAAGGGGCAACCTGGGATTTCCTCTGGGACACATGAGCTTCTTTTTCCTATGGTATTAACCACCATTAAAAATGGGATGTTGTATATACCGTAAATATTATACTGTAAAAATATTTGTTGCACAACATTTATTTATAACGGTAAATATGCAATGTAAAACCGACTATAAACTTTACAACAAAATTTAAGTGACTTATATAAGAACTATGTATTCAGAGTGGGCTTTGAGTATAACATCTTCTTTACACTGTCAATTTCTTAATAATATCATACTATACTAATCCTTACTGTTATTTTAATGTAGTAAAATTTTTTTATCGCACTTACCCTACGGTACCGCAGTAATGTAGTTTCTTACTGACACTAATTATAATTTTGTATTTTCTTACTGTACTAATTCTTACTGTTAAATTCATATTGTAAAAAAATGCTTAACACACTTACCATTCCAATATCATGAAGTAAAATTAATGAGTTGAGTATACAAATACATGGTTATATTGTTACAATGATAGCACTGAGGGACAAGTTTGTTTTTGTTCTCTGTTGCATGAGATTTTTTTAACGGATCGAGGATATTTTTACATTGCTGATTTCAAATCTAATATCGGTTTCTCTCTAAAACAATAGTTTTTTTTTTAAATGACATTTTAGTCTTTTTTTTTTAGAAAAAAAATTTTAAAAACGTTATATATATATTAAGGGTCGCATAAATGTAGCAAAAAACCTTTCAGGCTAGTTAGGGCACATCATCAGAATTAAAATTGCATGGAAACCCTTGCCTTTAAATGTCGCCTTACGCCGTTAGGGGCTCTTCCCGTCTTAACTCTTTCTTCGTGTGCTTCTGAACATGTCATAATAGAGTAAGCGCCTCTAGCTGCGTACGACAAAATTTTTTGGGCATGGGTTCCTACATAATTTTAATCTTGATGATGTGCTCTTACTCTCCTAAGAGATCTCCGCAACAATTATCCAACCCCCTGTTTTATATAATGTCTTTAAACTTGCACATTTTGATAAAAAAAAAAAAACAGATTTAAAATGTTATTTAAAAAACTATTGTGGCTCTAGGAGCAAAACTAATTTCCGATTCGAAATCCCTACACCCGAATTAGGCAAGATCAAGTATTTGTATAAATGCAACAGAAATTTGTTCCCAGTGTAATTATTCTATTTAAAATTGAGAATAATATATGACTATAAAAAATACACTTTACATCAAAATTTAAACGACAAATGTAAAAAGTATGTAGTTCGAGAAATTTCCGAGTAAATTTTATTTACAGGAGGGCAAATATAGAGTTGTAAATGAATACATGCAAAGTCATTTTAAAATGCTAACAGCAATGCAATTTATTAATTTAAAAAAAAGTTCTTTTAGTATTAAATCTTGGAGAAAGGGACAGTGAATTGTTATATTTCGTAAGAATCACCCCAATACCAATTTCAATTTTTATAAACATATGTCTTTTCAAAACTTATTCAATATATTGTTTTCACAAAATGTTTATAATTTTTAAATTATTTCTAATTTCTCTTTAAATTAGCTCATATTTCATGAAAAACAATTTAAATATTAAATAAGTTAGGAATTATGGACTGTATATAAATCTAGTTATATGTTCCATAAACTCCCTATATTTAACTAACTCACCATTTAACTAAACTCACTATATAACTAACTTACTATATAAAAGAAAAAAAGTTTTAACTCTCCGAACCCCTGTGGCTTTTTAACGGAACCTTATAGTTCCGCGGAACAACTTAGGGGAATCTAGAATTCTCTGTTACGGAAAATTTTGCTAATGCTTTATAAAAATCTTCACTGTCCACTGAGGAGAGATATAACCCATCAATGATTAAACAGATCATTTAAGAAACACATCAATTAATATCTATTTAAAGCAAAAATTTAAAATTTATTAATCTTTTTATAAAGCCACAATATTTCCATAATGCTCTCTGTGCCGGGTTCATATCCGTTTGGTGGTATTTGCTATTAAATTTCCACTTTTGTTAGATAAATTTTGTTGGCAAGAATCATATGAGAATAAATATTTTTTCAAATTTTTATTTAATATTTCCTTTTATGGATATTAAATTAAAAAATTATTAAATATCCTTCTCTAATTTATTACATATATTTATAAGAAAAAAACTTAATTTTATGTTTTTATGATTTTTAGATTATTTTAAAAGTCTCTTAAAAAGTTCAATCTGTTTCAACTACTTATTTTTTGAGTCATATGTGAACATTGAATCATAAATTTAAAGGTAAGAGTCAGTTCTGTATAGGAGTAAAATATCTCTTAGTTTATATTTATTTTTATCTTTATATGCGGAGTATAAATTCAGTCGAAAGGGATTATAAATCGAAATTGCAACAGTGAAAAATACCAAAAAAAATTTCATGTTTTGATACCAAACTAATATAATCAATAATATCAATATAAATAATCAATTAAAAATAAGTAAAATTTTGCTTATTTTACTTATTAATTAAAAAATAATTATTTAATATTTACATGTATAAATATATTCCACAATCCAACATCAGGTTTTATCAAAATTAAAAAGCCCACTCAATATTCAAATGAACGAACGAGAGGAAAAAACCGAAACTGAAACTTTAAGCGGTTTCTTACCTCTCTTTCCAACAAATGTTTATCGGCCGGGTCCCCGTCCGGTGTCCGTGTCGGAAGTTCGACCATCTCGCGAATGTCAAGGGTTCGATCAGCGGCTCTGTCGTTATTCATGTCAGACTTTTCAGATGGACGTCGAAAATGAGCTAAAAGCATCCGCACTGCCCACATACTGATCTTTCAGCTGCCATCTTCGCGGTTTTTTTCAAAGAAGTTCTGTCAGATAGACGCTTAATTATAGGTCCACCCCCTACCCATAAATGGACTCCTCCGCAGTCTCAGGACCAGTCTTTTTCTTGAGTTGTTTTGACGTCCGACCTCTAAAACAGAACTTTTCCTACTCACAGCAAAACTCTGCTCCTCCTTCTTTCAAACTTTTTGCTCCCAACTCTTTTCTACGAATCTACTGGGTTATTTTTTTTTTCTTTCTCCAACGAAGAAAGAGAAAAAAACTATCAAAACAAGTGGGGAGAAAGGGCCTTCTGTTTTTGTTTCGTAGTACTGAAAGTTTTTCATTATGCGCGAAATCAATCTGTGCTATATTAAAATAGTGAGAGATTTACTATTGAGATAATTGATTCCATATTCTAGAAGAAAAAAAATGAATGTACGGATTTTTTGTGCATCTTTTCCTTTAATAGATTCATAAAAATTTTCATTAAATTTCCATTAGGCGCCAATGATCCTATTTTGAGAGCGTATCCTTTGTTCAAAAAGATGAAGATAAATAATATAATTATTTAAATCTTTCTTAGCTTTCATTGTGAGAAATTAAGGCGTTTGTGTCTACCATAATTTATTATTAATGTTAATACCTTACATTCATAATATATTATGGTGACAATATTCACTTTGTTAAAGTAAAATTTCATTACCTTAAAAAAAAAAAAAAAAAATAGGCAATTTTCGTGGATTTTTTGCTTTAATAGAATCGTGAAAATTTTCATTAAATTAACCCATTAGGAGCCAATGCTCCCATTTTTAGAACATATTCTTTATCCAAAAAAATAAAGATTGGTAATTTAATTATTTAAATCTGAGCATTTATTGTGAAAAATTAAGTAATTCTGTTTACCGTAATTTATTATCAATGTGAATACCTTCCATTGATAATATATTATGATGAAAATATTCAAGTACAAATATCCTACCACATTACTAAAAAGAAAAAAAAAAATTCTCGTTACACTACAAAATGTGTCATTTTGCATAATCGCCTTCTCGTCGGGGCCAATGCATTAAATTTTAACCTAAATGCCCAGTGAACACGCTTTAAGTCTCTACATTTTCATAGTGCTTAAGAAATTTGCATAAATAAGCTTCATATCATTTATATATTTGCTAAAATTCTCATTCAAATACCTGGCTAGCTAAAGAGAATAATTCCGAACGAAAAAATCAAGAGAGAATGCTTGTACAGTGCGGAAAAGAAAAAAAATAAGTGGACACCCTAAATGACTTTTGATGTAATGATCGGATCTTAGGTTTAAATGGTTCGGCTAATCAGTTAGTGCACACGATATTATAAGTTAAGAAATCGAACACAAAAAGTACTTTCTTTGAATAAAACTGCCTTTTTTTGACGGATTCAGACTTATGACTCCCAAAATATAAGAGGTAGCCGCAATCTGGAAAATAGGGTTCCAATAGTTTAATCGGAATCTTTAATGTTAATTTTACTTTTTGCGTGTTTTACCATACCTCGAGAAAATTTTGCAATTAAAAATTTTGCACACAATTATAAATTTGTTTATCCAAAAATAATTCCATGAAAAATATAACTTTTAGTAAAAATTTATTATTTTATTTTCCTTTTTAATAATTGAAAAACAATTTTTGACTTATAAGGTAAACAAATTTTTACATCATTTTAAAGAATGCAATTTTAAATGGCAATATACGAAAGTTGAGCGATATCGGTCGAATAGTTCCTGAGAAATCGAATTTTAAAAATACGACTTTTTCTAAATTCAATTTCTCAGGAGCTATTCGTCTGACTTCGTTCAAATTTTGTATTTTTCTATTTAAAATTGCACTTTTTAAAATAATATAAAAAATTGTTAACCATACTATTCAAAATTATTTGACTATTATTAAAATAAATATTTACTAAAAGTTATATTTTACATAGAGTTATAATTGTGTGTAAAAATGTTTAAATTCGCTGAAAAAGTTCTCGAGATACGGTAAAATACTCAAAAAATAAAATTAACATTAAGGGGTCAAAACTTTCGACCGCTCTCCTGATCAAACTATTGGGACCCAATTTTCCAGATTGCCTATTTTCCAGACTCTTATATTTTGGGAGACAGGAATCCGTCGAAAAAAGGCATGTTTATTCAGAGAAATTATTTTTCTGTGTTTGATTTCGTAATTGAAAATATCGTCTATACTAATTAATTGCCATATATGAGGTCACCCCCTCGAATCATTCAGATTGAGTCTTGGAATGTGAAAAACCTATCATTAGATCAAAAGTTTCTCAGAGTAGTCAGTTTTCATTTTTCACACTGTGCAATAAAAACAGTAATTATAAATAAATAAATAATCTATAATTCAACTTTCAAAGAATATAAATCGCATTATATTGTTATTCAACAAAGTGACAAGAATTGACAAAAATTACCCAACATCGGCACTCGTTCGTTTTACGCAAATCAAAGTTTTTTAAACTAATGCATACCTGCTAACATTCATTCTTTTCGAGAATGGATTTTCCAAGTGGTAGTAAAACAATTACCGAAAAACAGTTTTACTCAAAAAGATATTTATATTTTAACCAGGTTGATATTCGCTAGCGTGAGGACTAATAAGCTTTTTATATATTTGTTGTAATTATTTATATGAAGTGGTGGTCAAACTCATTTATCATTATTAATATAATTCAAAAAGTTTAGAGAAATAGCATGAATTTTGTTAGCACTTTAAATATGAAAAAAAAAAAAATATTCCGGTAAAACCGGAAGAGTTGGCAGGTATGAGTCTTTAACAACAGTATTGCATATTATATATGCTTAATTATTTTAAAAATAGTGACAGTAAAAAAGTTTAAAAAATTAAGTTTATAAATGTAATGAAAGCATACATTTTACTACCACTTTAAAGATAGAAATTAAAATTTACGCCATATGAGTAAAAGTTTGCAGATATGCTAATGACAATTATCAAACGAAACCTTTTTATCTGGTTGACTAGTTTTTTTTTTAATGCTGTAAATTAAAAACTGTCTTTATTAAAAAAAAAAAGAAAAGAAACAAAAAAAGTTTTGTTGCTTTTTAAAATTCAAAATTAAAATGTTTTATCAAATGTGCATGCTTGTTTAAAACACGGACTTACTTGTTCAAACTCTTTTAATTTATCGACGATAGTATTTCCTAAAAAAAAAAAAAATTGTTTTTGTGTTTTTAATGAAAACAGACGGCTCTGTCTCGCTCACTGATAACGCGTTTTGAGAGGTGTCCACATCAGCAGCGGTTTATAAAAGATTAGCATGCAAATTTAATAAGAAAAATAAATTGGTTGACTTTCAAAGATGATTTTACATTCCCAAATGCAGGAATAATTTTAAATTCTATAATGCTATCAGAAAGAAAAATATGAAAATCCTCTATTTTTCAGGCAGTTACGGGTATTCACCCCATTAATTTTTTCAAAATAAATTAAATATAAAGATGACTCTATATTTTACAATAAAGCTCTTATTTTTTTTTTAATTTTATTTATTATCTTTGGTTTTAAAATAAATAGGACGTGTTTTTAAAACAAATTGATAGCTGAATGAATGAAATATTTAAACAAATGTGCTATTACTTTTTTCGTAAAGGACTTTTTCTGATGCTTACAACATTTGAATCCGAATGGAAAACGTTCCTTAAATTCATTTTTTGCATATTTCGCCATAATTTGGTAGTTTTACTTTTATTTATTTATTTATTGTCTTTTCTGAACGAATCGGAAATTTTTTGCCCAAAATTATGCAGTAGCATGTTTTTGAATATCCTTTTAGAAACTTCATTACCAGTTTTTAGACTTCACTACAGTACCCTGAAAAATAACTACATACCGTCAGTATATACTTAAATGAATTATTTTTTACAATAGGTAAGCACAAATGAATTTTTTTGTCGATTTATTTATTTACTAATTAAGTACAAATTAAAACCTAATTAATTTGTACTTAATTAATAAATAAATTATTAATTAAGTAACCAAATTAAAACCTAATATACTCATTTACCCCTGAGAACTAGACAAAATTGATCAATTTTGATAACTAAAATCAAAACAGTATGTCATTAAATAGCATAATTTTACGCACCTGATTAGATTCTTTTCTCCTAGAAACAAATATATACTGAGAGTTACGCGTAATTACCCGTGCTATATATTTGTAGAATGCTTGTTAAAATTGAAAGGAAAAAAAAGTGTATACATAAAGTAGCGAATCAATACTTAAACGAGGAAAAAACAAAAAGCGAACGAAATCCATCAAATCGCTACTGAGGAAGGCGAGATTGAAAACATCAATTTTCGTTTGATTGCCGTTTTATGAAGTTGAAAGGTATTTATACCTTTTAGAAATTTCATCAGTAAATCAAATTGCCTTTAGCACTTTTCCTCCCACCTACATTACTTATGTTCCGCTGATTTCGATAACATATTTCAGCTTCAATACCCTTAATTATAATTATTATGTATGTTAATTATAATTGCATTAATTTCAAGCAATGTATATACTTTTCTTCTTGATTTGTGAGAAGGATTCTTAAAATATATACTAAATATGGTAATTGTATATAGAATTCAACTGTATGAATAATTACATATTACACATTATAATTACATACACACATTATAATTACATATTACACATTCTAATTACATATTACACATTATAATTAACATACATAATAATTATAATTATTATTATAATTATTATGTATGTTAATTATAATTGTATTAATTTTAAGCAATGTATATACTTTTTTTCTTGATTTGTGAAAAGGATTCTTAAAATATATACTAAATATGGTAATTGTATATAGAATTAAACTGTATAAATAATTACAAATATTTATTAAATATATGAAGAAAAAAAGAACTGCTATATCAATCGGAATACAAAAGATCTTATTGTTAACATCCTGGAGGCAGAGAAAGTTTGAAGTTATGTGATATCTTTAATTCAAAATGAAACTTGATAAACAAACGAAGTCGGGAAATTGTAATTAGATATCACAGCAAAAACAACGATCTTTTTTCGTTTTGTAATTTACGAGAATTATTAAAGAGAGATTTTTTATATCTATGGCAAATGACCAGTAGGGGCAATCAGATTTTTTTTTATTTTTTATAAATAGGAATAAAACTATTTTTATAAATTTAGCAGAAATAAATACATTTTTAC